GGCATAAACTACCATTTTATTTAAGGTTAAAAGTGTGTCATAATGCATATTCAGGCGCCATTTTAATCTTTGCACATCAGCAAAAGCATTACTTTAAGGGACAAAATATAAGGAGCTTGGACAGAATAGTCTATTGCACACTCTTCAATTCCTGAATTTCCCGCTCCATATGGAAAGTGATAACTGAAAAATCTCAGCAAAACTTGGCGCCAAATGTAAGCCAAAGTATGTAAATTAAGTGATGCTTTGCGATAAAATTAAATTAGCTGTCACACTAGACATCCTTTGATAATGGCTAGATTAAGGGTCTTTGAGCAAAAGAAATTCAATCTAAGCCGGGCGCTGACGATAAGGCTTCTGCTTTCCTGTATAGGAAGCGCATCCCATGTTATTAAGTCAGCAAACATTGGTTACTATGCCTTTGAAGTTTTTCTGGGTGTGGCCCAGGCTGCCTCATTGGCAGCCGTCTGCATGTGCGAACTGGCATACTATTTTTCAAGCGTGGTAACCGGGGCTCATGGCAAAAGAGATCCTCCTGCAGGCAAGCTCAAGTTTCCTCCATAAAAGAATATATTCAGAATGCTCAAGAAACGAACATTTGAGGATAAAGCTAACGGCTGACAAGATGACACGAGAGCAATCCGGCCACTCACGTAAGGGCTCTAGGAAATTCAAGCAAAATTAGCCATTTATTATTACGATAAAATAGTATTGAAGTTAATTGCAAGTAATGCTAGTAAGTCTCCATGACGTGAATAATCTTAAATCAGCCTTTTTTGCCAAAATGCTTCATCGTCCGGGCTGGCCTGCAGTGCCTGCCTAGAATATCCCCAACGCAAGGATGCAGTAAGGGCATCTGTCTTGTGATTCGAGGGAGCCGGAGTCGTTTTATATGAAGCCGAAGGCGTTTTAGATTTATTCTGATTAAATTATACTAAATAGTGATTTCGCAGTCTCATTTAAAGTACTTAGGCAAATCTATACCCATCTGATTGCTATGGAAAGTTGTTTTCTTGGCTTAACCGAGAATGAGGTAGGGAAAAACAGGAGTGTTTATCCCACGAGGATTACTGAGCATAGATGCACATGCCTTCACTATTTTGAGCCTCCATTACTTATCAGTAAATAAAGCCAAAAAAGTGAAACACTAGTCCATCGCTTAATAATTCTTTAGCTCTAGCCTCTCTCGGGCATGGAAATTAATGTAATAAAATAAGTGAAGCTAGAATAGAAGAAACACACTTTATCAAGGCACTTATTTTAATGAAAAATGGCTCGCAATTGTATAATGAGAACATTTGACGGTAACAAGAAAGGGTCAACTCGATTTTAATTCATAAAAGTTGTTTACCATTTCGATGGGTTTATATTTTGGCCAGAATTACTAGTTCACCTTTGCTCAATCAAGCATTTCCTGCCATTTCACTCGATGTTCTGTAGTCCACAATAAGAGAGAACTTTCAGCCCATGTGGATGAACATGTGCAAAACGATTGCTACTGAGATAAAATGAAGCTATGAAGTGTGTAAGTAGTAAGCATATGAAATGTATTTACTCTATTTAGTCAAGGTTAGAACTGGCAGTTGGAATTTTGACACCCACGTTTCCAATAAATTTCACATATACCTGCTTCCCATAATAGTGTGAATGTGTCTTATATGCCTACTCGACTGGTAGTCTCGAAAATCTACTTGTAAAAACGAAAAAAATTGCTAAGTATCCTAATTAAATTGTTTACAAAATCCAATGCGTATTAGGCGTATTATATACAAGTTAGGGCATTCTCATCACGCCCTAGCAACGTATAGCAAGTAAGAGGAATAGATAAATCTAGATTGTGCGTGCCGAACTCACATTTCGGACATGTCTCTACTTGGTCCATCCAACTGAAATCCAGCATTCATCTAAATTACCTTGAGGAAATCTATATAGAGCTATGGAGATTTCCTAAAGCGAACCTAGAAATCAAGTTTAATCCGTTAATTAGAGGGAACTTGCTACTGTTTGATAAGTAACATGTAGGTTGAAAATTGTTCAAACAGTGTAACACCTCACATTTCTTTTAGTTTTATACACAAACTCCTTCAGAACACTTTCCATGTAGAATAAAAAATACACTAGCATGAAAACTTTTTAAATTTTTTTGCAGCCCACCATACAAGCCTTGAGCGATGCTTGAATCCAAGCATTTCTTCCTAACTATGTCAATGATTCTTTGTTATAAAATAGATAGGTTTTCTGTAAGAAAATTTTTCCTTTATGCACTATTTCCGAGGTTAGGCTTCCCGTTTCTGGACTTGATTTTACCTACTGGGCAATACTGGGAGAAAATCGACTCTCTTTTTTGGTATTCCCAGACATGTTGGTATATATAAAAATGCTAATGCAACCATGTAAGGCAGTCAAACATCCTCGAATAGCATACTCACAGCCAGTTGGTCTATAGTATTCGCTTTGAATGAGCTTTCAAGACCCTGAATAGATCTTGAATAAGAGCTTTATTTGACCCAGCTAACTTAAGGTGATAAAGAATTGATGATGAATTCCCTCAGCCAGTCATTCACAGAGCAGCAATACATTTTTGGGCAAGCTAGGCCTATCCCATATTGCATTTCATATCAGGATTGTCGCAAAAACTATTAATTTTGACAACATTACTTGCGGTCGCTTCGAGTAGGATTAATTAGATGCGGATGAGACCCAGACGAGGTAAAGACTGCAGTACATTCTGCATAGCAATTCAGTTTGGCAGGCAAGGCCAAGTGGAGAGGTTGTTTGACCTTGTTTTCACAACTTGGTCATATTGGAATGAAGACTTAGAGGAACGCCCCTAGTCCGGAGTTCATTGTATGCATCATCATTTCCAGAGTAGGACCATGGGGGTAGTACATTAACAGACGTTTTGCAGGCATCGTAGTCGGCATCGTCAGTGCGTCTCGCCATTCTTAGCACCACACAACAACTCGTCAAAGAGACAAGTGAAGCCGAACCTTTGACCAAACGTGTGCTAAACAATTGTGGTATCTCCCCTTCTGCCCTGGTCTATTCAAATTTCCTATATCTTCCTATCACACCCTCACTGCTACAATTTGTACCATGCTTATTTCGATGTAATGTGGTGTGTTCCTTTGAGCGGCATTCATGAAAACCCTTTACACCTTTGACGTGTCAGCTCGTTCGAAAGATGGAGGATGGGATATGTTAATTTACCTCAGTCGGAATAGAAGAATTGTTATGTTCTTGTGATTGTTAACTTGTGCAAGGAAGTCCTTAGCATACCGTATTTAAAACTATAAATCCGTACTGAGCTTTCGCTTGTCTCACTGTCTCAGACACCGCCATAGATAGAAAAAAGTATTTAGATAAATGTATCCAATTGCTAAACCAAGAAAGTTCTATTCATCTTACTTATTTTAGGGTGTT